ATACCCCAAGTATCAGAGGGGTAGCCGTGTTAGTCTGAATCTGTAAAAAGCAACAGAGGGTCCTGTGGCACCTTTAAGACTAACAGAAGTATTGGAGCATAAGCTTTCGTGGGTGAATGCCCACTTCTCTTGCATCTGATGAAGTGGGCATTCACCCTCGAAAGCTTATGCTCCAATACTTCTGTTAGTCTTAAGAATGACCAAAGGATTAGAAAACATGCCTTATAGTGATAGATTCAAAGAGCTCAATATATTTAGTTTAACAAAGAAGGTTAATGGGTGACTTGATTACTGTCTATAAGTACCTACATTGGGAACAAATATTTGGTAATGGACTCTTCAATATAGCAGAGAAAGGTATAACAAGATCCAATGGCTGGAATCTGAAGCTGAACAAATTCAGACTGGAAATAAGGCATACATTTTTAACAGTGAGGGTAATTAACCATTGGAACAAATTATCAAGGGTCGTGGTGGATTCTCCATCACTGACATTTTTAAATCAAGATTGGTATTTTTATTAAAAAGATCTGCTCTAATTCAAATAGGAATTATTTTGGGGAAGTTTTATGGCCTGTGTTATACAGGAGGTCAGACTAGAAGATTAGTGGTTCCTTCTGGCCTTGGAATCTATGAATTTTTGAATGGGTCAACCAGAAGGGAGTCCTCAGTGCATCATGGGAGATGTAGTCCAGCCCGTGAGCCTAGCCCACAGAAGAGAACAAAAGAATGAGGCATCTGAACTACAGCTCCCACGAAGTATCATGGCTGCTCAGTTGGATGCACATGGAGGTCCAACTGCCCTGAAATTGAATGTTTTGACTGGATTTGACAAACTGATATTTTCATTTCAAATCTTCCTGATCCAGAACAAAATATTTCATTCCAATTTTCCATCAGGAAGAAAATTGAAAATGTTTGGCTGAAACTCCTGTGGAAAATTTTGATTCTGACAAAACTGCATTTTCTGTCAAAAAACAGTTTGATGGAAAATTCCCAAGCAGCTGTCTCTATTTGCTACTTTCCAGTCATATAGTACAATATAGACTATATATTTTGTTAGCAGCTCAGCCACTTATCAGCTATCTTCACCCTTTCTAACATGTCTTTGATTGACTTCTCTTCCTGCCAGGTTTCTCTCCATTCCTAATTTAAATAATACCCCTATAGAATTGTTTTGTTTTTTTTTAAACTACTAAGCTAGCAGTCTGATCCACCTCTGTTTATGGTAGGGGATTGGCTGGAACAGCTTGTGATCAGAGCTGTAGCATGAGGATAGGTGCGGCCGCACTTTAAGAGATCAAGGACACCTCATTTCAGCACCGAATCCTGTCGGTGGTGTCAGTGGAAGTGCGCGGACTAAGCTCACACATGGGGGGCAGAAACACCCCCAGAGAAGCAGGGTCCTCCAGATCCTGACTGGGGTTGGGGCTGCTGCCACCCTCTTCCCCCCTTTGTCTGAGGTGTGTCCCTCTCTGTCTCCCGGCCATTGCCCTGAGCAATGGGCTGTGAAGAAGAGGCATCTCTCCTCCCCCCCCCGCCCAGGCTAGACAGGAGCAGAGGAGGGGAAGCGGGAGGAGTGGTAGCTTCAAACGAGATAGCCCTGAACCACTTCTTTCTCCACAGAAGGCTGGTCACCTCCTCCCTGTACTGTGCTGCCGAGTGGAGTAGTCTGGGAGCTGACCTTATTCGTGAAGACAGAGGCAAAAAAATCATTGAGTACATTAGTTTTTTCCACATCCTTCCCCATTCAGTAAGGGGCCTACACTTTCCCTGACCTTCTTTGTGTTGCTAACATACCTGAAGAAACCCTCCTTGTTACTCTTAACATCCCTTGCTAGCTGCAACTCCAAGTGTGATTTGGCCTTCCTGATCTCACTCCTGCATGCCTGAGCAATATTTTTATACTCCTCCCTGGTCATTTGTCCAATCTTCCACTTCTTGTAAGCTTCTTTTTTGCATTTAAGATCAGCGAGGATTCACTGTTAAGCCACGCTGGTTGCCTGCCATATTTACTATTCTTTCTACACATCTGGATGGTTTGTTTCTGCAACCTCAAATCAAATCCTGAGTGAAAGATAAGTTTGGGGCAGATCCGAGCCATAGTCTGAGCCCCAGTTGTGTGGAAAAAAGAATCCTTAGAAGAACTTGATTTTGCAAATGCTGTTGCTTGGGGTGGGGGCCTGTATCTCTGGACCCTCTGGTTCAGATTTGGAACCCTAATGTTACCTAACTGCCCCACGAGGCAGGGAAAATTTGTAACCATTTAGAATGATTCATCTTTAAAGAGAAAGTGAAGCTTAACCCTAATTATAGCTAGACTTGGCAGAATTCATTTAAAAAATATAATTTGATGGATAATATTGATGTTCAGTTTTAAACACTATTTTGAATTTCTGATTTTCATAGTCATGCAAAATTATGGGAGGTCAGACAATTGTTTAATGACAGCAGATATTGAGATTTAAAAAGTTAAAATTTTATAAACCATTAACACACAAATTGTCAACTCACATGTCAAAATATACAAAGTAAATATCCTGAAGTCAAACTCCAATAAGTTTTCAAGCAGCACTTTTCTTACTTTGCCTGTCTGCACATTTTGATTATTCTCGATGGAAATATTTTTCTTCGGTGTGTGTATGGGGAAAATCGACATTTACCAATAAAAATTGAATCCTCCCAAGCCTAATTATAGAAGAGCTGGCACTCTGCATATTCTGCTCTCACGACGACACTAATAGGGCATCAATGAATTGAATGAATAGAGAATCTGATGGAGTTCTGGGGAAATAAGATGTATCTGCCAGGTGCTGCCCCAGACCAGGCTGTGTTCACCCACAATCATGCTCACCTCGGGCTTGACATTACAGGACACTGAGTGCCCATAATTCCCACTGGCTTCACTGAGAGCTGTGGGTGCTCAGCATTTCACAGGAAATGCCCAGCACCCTGTAGGAATGGACACCATGTGCTTTCTCTGCTTTCTATAATTGACAGATCAGACTTCAGAGTGCTGGTATATGGAAATCTACAAAACAAGGGTACCCCGGGCAATAAGGGATCAAAGCAGCCATTCACACAGGGGTCTCAAGAAACTCCATTGTAGAGATGAGGAAACTGAGGTCCAGAGAGGTGAAGTCAACCAGTAACAAAACAGGGAATAGAAGTCAGGTGTCTCTGTGCCACTATCACAGTACTGACCTTTCTTCTTCACTGTCCCACCTCAGGGCTCCCAATCTTACAGAGTTATTGGGCCCTGAGACTTGATTCACATCTTACATTACCATTGCACATTGAAGGAGCTAGATGAAAAGAAATATTGAGTATGTGGTGCAATCCACAATAAAGGGACCTGGTATAAAACACAGTGTGTGCTCATGTAATTACAGACTGCGTTGTAATGGAGACACACAGAATGGCATCTCTCTGCCTTGGTGCCTCATTGATGAGGTGTTTTAAAGTAACCTACAACAGCAGTGATAAATATCAGACTAATCAAACCACAAAGGCCTGCATCCCTAAGCCAAAACAGCAGAAATATCAGTCCCAATATTGAGTGCAAGCTATAGCAGCCACCGACCTCACCTAAAAAGCCAGATGGCCAGTGAGAGAGGTGACTCAGACGCATTACAGCAAACCAGCTTATTCCCATTTCACGGGCACTGAACAAACTACGGCAGGACGGTCTGAATCCTTTTGACAGCAGAGAGTTTAGTGACAACTTTTCCCAGGGCCTCTTTGACCTCTCTGTTCCTCAGGCTGTATATGAGGGGGTTGACCATGGGAGTCACGACTGTGTAGAAGAGGGAAAACACTTTGTTTAGGTCTTTCAGTGTATCAGTTTTTGGGAGCATGTAAACAATCATTATGGTCCCATAGAAAATTGACACCACGATGAGGTGAGAGGAGCAGGTGGAAAAGGCCTTTTGCCACCCGGTGGTGGAAGGCATTCGCAGGATGGTGGTGATGATACAGACGTATGTTGCCAGCGTTAATAGAAATGGCGGGAGAGTGCATATAGCAGCCAGCATGGTAGTGACAAGCTCCATCATACGTGTGTTACTGCAGGAGAGTTTTATTACTGGGATGAAGTCACAGAAGAAATGGTCAATTTCATTGGGGCCGCAGAAAGTCAATTGTTGCATTAAGAATATTGTTATGTCAGCAGCCAGAGAACTACTTATCCAAGTGCCAACTGCTAGCTGGAGGCAGGACCTGCCATTCATAAGGACAGCATAGTGCAGTGGTTTGCATATCGCTAAATACCGATCATAGGACATCACTGCCAGGAGATAGCACTCTGCAACTGCCAGGAAACCAAAGAAATAATATTGTGTGAGGCAGCCGCTAACGGAAATGGTTCTGTCCCCAGTCAGGAGACTGGCCAGCATCCTGGGCAGGATGGTGGAGGTGTAGCAGGTCTCCAAGCAGGACAAGTTCCCCAGGAAGAAGTACATGGGGGTGTGAAGTTGCTGATCAGCCACAACTAGCACAATGATGAGGACATTCCCAGCCATGGTCACAATGTAGATGATGAGAAACAGGAGGAAGAGAAGAATTTGTAGCTCAGGGAGATTCCCAAATCCTAGCAGGATGAATTCTGTGAGAACTGTTTGATTTCCCTGCTCTGGGTTTGCCATGAGGTGCAACTAGGGGAAGAAAACAAAATTCACAATAGATTAAAATATATCATCTTCAAATTCAAGTAGTAGTATCTATTTAGTTCCATAAATATTCCATAAGGTCCCTCATCCTGTTGGGTCAGTGAAGAACCAAGACTCTGGAGGCAAATTTCCTACTTAGATCTTTGACATTCCATGATCACCCCTCCTCCTGTCTGTTAAAAGGCCAATATAGGCAGAAAAATCACACTGCTGTATAGATTTATGCCAAAACTGGCAACACCATTTTGTATTAGTCTTTTGTAACTTTGTCAAGTTGTCACCATAGATCACCACGGTGGACTGTGATTCTTTCATTGAAAACATATTATTGGCTCAGTTGAAGGCTCTAGTGGACTCAGCCACTAGAGGGGGACAATGATCAACACTGTGTCAAAGCAGGTTACATTCGTCTCCATGACACAAGGTCCAACACTTTCCTATTGTTTTTATTCTTTTTCCATTTTTTGACATTCATCTTAGACCTCTCCGAGACACACACACACACACACACACACACACACACACATCACTGAGCTGTTGCATCACAAACTTATGCTGAATTTACACTTCACTCTCCTGACCATTTCTTTTTCCAGCATCACAGCCACCTGGGTGTCTCGGTTTACTTTCCCTCAGAAACACTTGCAAATTGAATCTCATTTTGTTTCTGTCTGCAATTGAATCATTCCTCTGCCCTGCTGTGAGTTTGCTTCTGCTCCCTATTAGTGTTGTCTGCCAACGTGATTAACTTTACTTCCTGGGTGAAGGTGAACAGGAGATTATTAACTAGCACAGGACCTACAACCCAATGTTCTAGCTCCCCTAACTGAATGGATCCCGCTCTCTGATTATTTTGTTTTATCCAACACCACAGCTCCCCCAACTCAAGGCATTGCTCTCTATTATAGAACCCCTTTGGTGTTGGAAATTGAGTCACTTAGCAAACCATATAATATTGCCACTAACTAAGGCAATCAGATATTTTCAAACAGTACGCTAGTGACACAAAGTGTCCAATACCTCATAACACCCAAACATATCACATCAGTGCAACCCCTTCAGCCACTGTTTAATTCTATCAACAATAATGGAACATGTGTGATAAGATTTATTTTTACAACTGCTCAGTCCTCTGTGTTGTTCATTTTCCCCTTGCCTTCTAGACTTAGCAATTTTTCTCTTAATATTCAAATAAAATAGGTATTATGAAAACAATGAATAGCATACAGAATTAATGTAATTATTGTCACCATTTCAGGGTAACGGCACCTGTTTCCCCCCTCCATGATCCACTTTGGGTGTCCTAGTCAGGTGTCCTGTCTCCAGCCATCACCTGTCTCTGGGCAGGGCCCCTTGTCCCAGTCAGGGGGCAGGGGGTTTTAAGACTGCACAGCTCCCTGCCTTGCACTGGGAGATCGCCAGCAAGCCCAGTGCCTAAAGCCCAGTGCCTGTGCATTGCTTTCTCTCCAAGGGCTATGAACAGGCATTGCCAACAGTTATGATGGAAAACCCCTTTCATCGCTGTAGTAAGTATCTACATGACTGTGGCATAGCTGCAGCTGTGCCTCTGCACTGCGTGTAATGCAGACATGCCACTAGTCTCTGGAAAAGCCAGCCTGAACCAGTACATTCAGGGGGTAGAACTTCTCCGGAGCTGCTTAATCTCAGTGACTCACCTTCATCACTCCCCCCAGGTTTTGGTTCCTGAAGGATTCGTTTTTAATCACTAGATGTCGGTAAATGTCGCTATCAGCTGAGACACTGAAACCAACAGAAAAAAAATCGGTCACAGTCGACGTTAGCGCAGCCTTCCCCTGCGCTGTGTGCCCGCGGGGATGGGAGTCACCGGTCCTGCAGCCAGGCAGGGAGCCCTCTGCACCCAGCTGTCTCGGGAGTGAGCAGAGCTGCACAGGGCTCCCTGCACAGCCATGGGGCTTGTGACACCCATCCCTGAAGGCGCAAGGTGCAGGGCAGGCTGCGGTCTTGGCGGGCCAGAGCTGAGACCCCCAGCCTGGGCTGTGAGGTGGAGGATGAGTCCCTGGCTATGGGGGAGAGCACCCCGCTGCTGGATGGCTTCTGCCCATGGATGGAGCCATTCAACAACAGGGTGGCCTCTGCCACTGCCCAGGGCTCATGGTTCTCCACCTCCTCATGGCCCTGGCCACGGAACTCTGCTCCACTGGGCCAGAGCAGCCGCCTTCCCTGCCCCTTGCATCCTGGTGTCTTGGACCCCTCGGCAGTGCAGGGAGCCACCAGTTTCTCCGCTGTCACTGCTGGAAGACCCCCGCACGGCTGCCGTCAGCACTGCCCTAACCCTGATCCCAACCCTGTCCCCTGCTGAATTTCCTGCAGCTGTAAAAATTAAAATAGTTTAAAAATGAAGAAAAAAAATTAAAATAATATTAGTAGTCAAAATTGCAAAAAAATTGAATTCTGCCAAGCCTACTCATAGACAATGTCTACACCCGGAGCACTGAGCTCAGCAGCAAATATCAGCTCTGCTCTACCCATATCACCTCGCTAACCCTCTCCATGCCCCAGCGAGGTCTGTGCCAGAAAGAAAAGTAAAATCTTGTGTGTACCAGAGGGAAGCAGAGTGAAGGATGTTCCAGTGTTTCATGATCTCGCCTTGGACTTTGGAGATGTTGGTTCAATTCCCTCCTTTGTCACAAAAATCCTTGTGTGACTTTCAGGCCAGAATTCCAAAGGCCGGTAGGTACCTAAAAATGCACACTGGGGCCTGAGTAGGTTCAGTACGTAACACTCATCGATTATAAATCCCACTGGGGTGTCTGCTGTCTTTAGGTGCCAAAATACCTCTATAAATCTGTCCCTCTGGGTGTTAGGTCCCTGTCTGTATAGCAGGGGCAATAGCATCTCATGGGGCAGTGGGAGGATAGCTACATTCAGTTCAGTGAGGTGCCCAGATACCACGATGATGGCGGCCATAAAAGGAGCTAGGATAGCAGTGACCTGAGTGGCCTTTCCTTCTTCCAAATTCTGTTGGGTTGGGAGTTTAAGAGAGATCATTGCCAAATTCCCCTTAGGTTCCAATGGAATTAGTTACCTAGCAAACTTACATGGCTTTAAAAACCTTGAGCTTTAAGAAGCAGGGAGGAAAAGATTGATTTACCTCTATCAGCAGCTGGAGTCTGTCACCTTCTTACTCAGGATTTCAGACACTGTGATCCAGGTTATTCAGTCTATCTTCTCTCCCCACTGCATTCATGTACTTCCATGTTCTCAGTAAATAGAACATCATAGCCGAGATGGGCTACCGTGGCTCTGTTATATCTGGTAATGTGCCCTGTGCCTCATACCCTCCGCCAAATGGGGAACATCTTTTCTGATTCATTATCTATTCTTCTGTGGGAAGGTGCAGTCTCCTGAGGCACGTCTGCTGTGGGGAACGTAACAGGCAAGGGAAAGTTAGTATTAGGTTTATTTGCAGACAACGTTGGTAGAGTCAAACTTCTAATCTCAAAGGGAAAATCCTGGAGAGAGAAGAAACTTCTAATCCTAAAATCAATCTCTCTCTTTAGTGGGTGAATGTTATGTTGACGGTCAAGCAATAACACCAATTCTAGAAGTAAGGTTTACAGCTGAGATTTTCAGAGCTGCCTAAATGATTTAGACACTGAGTTCCCATCCAGTTCCCTTAGGTAGCTTTGAAAAATCTCAGCATAGTTAGCTGATCTTGCACTTTCTCTAAACAAACCCCGTGTTGCCCTCAATAGCAAAACACAGAAGTACTCAGACCCCATCCAATATCAGATAATTAGTTCAGGGAACATTTTAAAACATGTCTATGTGATTTAGGAGCCTAAATCCCATTTTCAAAAGTGTCTTAGTTACTAAGGCTTAGCACTCTAAGGTACCCTTAGAGTCTACACTACCGGCCGGATTGGTGGGTAGTGATCGATCCCCGGACACACTCCCTGTCAACTCCGGAACTACACTGTTGCAAGAGGTGGAAGCGGAGTCGACGGGAGAGCAGCGGCCATTGATCCTGTGCCGCGAGGATGCAAAGTAAGTCAATCTAAGTCGATCTAAGATACGTCGACTTCAGCTATGCTATTCTCGTAGCTGAACTTGCATATCTTAGATCGATCTCCCCCCGCAGTGTAGACCAGGCCTAAGAGTCACTGAAAGTCAACAAGACTTTAGCAAACTTAAGCAGTGACATAGAAGCCTAAGTGTTTTGGAAAACGTTACCCAATTTTTGCTCAGATAAAATGCAGGTACAACAAGGTGCTTTACATATTTAGGTTGGGATTTTCAAAGGGGGGGCGTAAAATGTACACAACTGCCACTGAATTGCTATAAGAGTTTGGCACTTAACTTCCTTGGGCTTCTTGGAAAAGCCCAGACCATGAAAACATGAAGGTCAGAGACCTACTTTTTTCCCCAAAACCCTGAAAAGTTTGAGTCACATGTATCTTCAGTGCCACAGCAATTACACAAATTAGATAATCTTGTACAAGAAATATAAATCTCTAGTTGGACTGTTGGAGTGTTTGAAAACCAAGAGAACAGTACTGACTGCATCCTGTAGAGGACCATGTTATACATTCATACTAGCCAATTCATGGTCCTCAATGGGTACAGTGACTATCATCATTTCATTTGTGTGTATTACAATATATTCTACAACTTGAGTCTAAAAAGTTTTTCAGCATGAAGTTTGATATACTGTCACTTCTTGCCCTGGAGGAAATGCTTCTTGTAGCCTTTATGGAAGAGCACAATAATTTGCTCCCTGATCCCTTAATAAGGTCTCCGTCGAATTTATCACTAGTATGAATAATTGTGTCTCCCAAGCTTTGTTCTTCATAATTCCCAGTGCTGAATATTTGTGACTCACATAATTGCGTTTTTAAATAAGAGGTTTCTTTTTTCTTTTCTTTTTTAATTAATCAGACAAAAATATAGCAGATATGGATGAAATCTTATTGCTTAACTCTTTGAAGGATATTGGCTGAATACAGGACTAGAATATATAATATAGGGATAGACCTGAAGCTTCACAAAGCTTGGCTTACATTTTTAATTCAAGTTTTAATTCCAAGTTTATCAATTCTTAATCACTTAAAAATATTGTTTAACTAAAATCATGGTTTTAGTATTTAGTACTGTCCATTTGTCATTCCCCAGAATCAGCTGCCATCTAGAGATCATAACAATGGACACCCAAAACATTGGTGAGAAAATTTTAGCTGTCCCCTAGTGCCCATCATACAGTATAGCTGCCCCATCCCTGCCCCTCACCCTCTGCTGCCCCTTGTGGCCATTATACAGTATAGCAAAAGTGCCTAAGGAGCCTAAAACCCTTTTTCTAAAGTGACATAGGAGCCTACATCTT